ATTATCTCAAAAACTACATATGTGGGTGGAGTGGTTGAAAGTAATGGAAGAAATTGAAATAATTTGCAAACTTTGTTGGTCATATGTGTAGGTTTGTTTGTAATGGTCATAATTCTTCTACTGAAGATTTAGATGTGTAATTTCAGATATTTTTTCTTTGTGCTTGTCAATTTCCAATATTATTGTAGTTTGTTAATGTTGTTCTGATGTAATGAGAATATAATGACCTCTATTTTGTTGTTGTTTGTTTCAATTATATATCAATATGAATGTGGTTTGTTTGTTGTTTAAATAAGATGAATGTAGTTTGTTTTTTTAATTCACCTGTGCTATCAGCTTTAATCAATGAAATGTAAATTATGTTGTAATGAAAGTGCATGTGTTATGTAAGCAATGCACTATGTTTTATGGTAATAATGTTTTAGTAAACACCCCCTAATATTAATATTTTATAGCAAAATCCACCCTGTGTAAAATAATTTTGCAAGAACCATCCTAGTTTTTGAACTTACCCATACGTGTTTGAACATCAACCAATGACAACAATTAAAAACAACAAAATACATATAGCAATGACAACCCATAGTAACCAACAAACAACAAAATCCACAAAATGGAAGCCTTTCAAAAATTACATACTACTCTTTTAAATACCAACCAAGGTAACCAACATCAACAAATACATCCCCAAAAACATAATGTCACTAATAAACTAATACATTCATCCAAAGCCATCAAAAGATGTGATCAAAAGGTTGTCAGTAGGTTGTTTCAAAATACAACTTTGGAAATATATCCATTACTACCAAAATTCACAAAAAACTGAATGTTCTTATATTCTAAATTTTCCACTTTCTCTTCCTCTCCCTGATATTTTGAAGGACTTCAGATATTTGGAGTTTCCTTGACTTTTTGGGTACATTAGGGTTGGTTGAAGTGACACCATCCACAGTTGATGTTGCTTTTCTTGTTGATGGTGCTTTTCTTGTAGTACCAATCTCAACACCTTGTCCAAGCAGAGCTGCATTTCTCCTCCCCTGGTAAATCTTTAAAAAGAAAACAATGTAAGTGAAATGCTAAAGTAGCCAAAGAAAGAAATAAATTACAAATGCATTTACCCTTGCTGGTGGTGGTTGAACTGTTTGAGGTTGTGATGCTTGAGGTGCACTTGAATTCACAACAGTAGACTCTTGAGAGGAAGCTGGAGGTGGAGCTGCAGCTGGAGGGCCACTTCTTACAAACTGAGGAGCCCTTGGAGTTCTTGATTTCACCACTGTTGGAGGTGCAGGTGCAGCTGGAGGGCCACTTCTGTTTTGCCTTCTTGCTGGACCAGGTCCACTTCTGTTCACTGATGGAGGTGTTTGCTCAGGTCTGTCATCATTTGTGTTGGCAGCTGTGTTACCCTATAAAACCAAGTACAAAATCAAAGCTCAAATTGACTTAATAATTTATTTAAAAATACACATGTTACCTTGTACAGCTTGGACCTTGAATGTGTTGGATTCTTACACGTGCCTCTGTTATGGCCTTGTTGCAAGCAATTTTTACATGTATGGGTCAAACCCTTTGTTGTAGAAGGCCTAAGCAGCTCATCAGAAGCTTTTCTTCTCATCTTTTTTGGTCTTCCAGCCTTTCTCTTTATTAATGGGGCTGACATTGGCTCAAATTGAGTCTTTATGTAGTCCTTTTGACCTGGAACAACATGTATCATGTATGCATAGGTCCTTAAATACATATCCTTTGTATAATATTGGTCTACATAATCCTCAATTTTGTATCTCCTCTCCACAATGCATGCCCATGCATGAGCACAAGGGTAGCCATTAAGCTGGAACAAGCCACAAGAACAGGTTTTCTTGTCCAGGTACACAACATACTTGTCTCTATTTAAATCTACTTCAAATTCTTCTCCCCCACACCACCTCGGGGAACAGTCTCTTGCAGTGGTTTGATATGCATTGATCTTCTTTAAAATGTTAGGACACATGCTGCCTTCATACTTCTCCATTCCTGCCTTCTTAACCTACAAAATAAAACATATAATACATTATGTATCAAAGTATAAAAGGCTAATGTTATACAAAAATAAAAGGCTAATGTTATACCTGAAGCCTACTTGTCATCCTTGTCCTAATCCATTCAAACATGCTAATTATTGGTTTCTCTCTTGCTTCAAGAATCATGTTATTGAAAGACTCACATAAATTATTCACCACCACATCAGATTTGCATGTCTGACTGAAATGTGATCTAGTCCAATGATATGGTGGTATATTACTCAACCAATCAAAAGCATCTTTATCTTTCTTCTGAATTTGAACCATGTGATGCTTGAACTCATTCACATTACCAGTTGAAGCAGCATTCCATAACAGACATTTGCCGATTACCCATATGATTGACAGCATTAGGGGTTATATGATGGATAAAATTTGTAAGAGGTCTGCAGAAGCGAGTGGTTGGACGACGATGCTTTGTCCAAAGATGGAAAAGATTTTAAGCACTTTTGTCGAAGACGGGAGGACATGGACTATTAGAAAATCAAATCAATTTGTCTTTGAAGTGCATTCAGACTCTCATGAGATTGTGGATTTGTTTGCTAGAATGTGCACATGTCGGGATTGGCAGCTTAAATGATTCCCTTATTGTCATGTGGCTGAGGTTCTCAAGAATATCCCCGTCGGTGAAAGATATGGGTACATTGACCCCTTGTTTTATGCCTGCAATTTCCGATCTACGTATTCTTTTTCTATTTACCCATTTATGGTGGACTTTATAAAAGTTGAGCAGCCAGCTGTTGGACCTCCAATTTGCCAGACAAGACGTGGAAGACCAAAAAAGAAGAGGATTCCATCTCGTGGTGAGAATATCAAGAAGAAGATCAAGTGTGGAAGATGTAATGAGATTGGTCATCACAACAAGAAGACTTGCAACAAAGCTATTTGAAGATCTACTATTATTTGTTTTTTTTTTTTTTTGACAGTTTTGGGATTGCATATATGAATGCTTACTGTTTTTTTGTTCAGTAATTCTATGTTACTATCAACGACAGTTATATTTGTTTCAGTAAATTTTTTCAGTAATTCTATGTTACTTTCAGTGACAGCTATATTGTTTCAGTAATTTTCTTCAGTACTTATATGTTACTGTTAAGTGTATATTTTTACACTTTATCGTACCTTTTTATTTGAGCTTTTGGTGTGATTTAACGATAATTGGTGCTTAAAAAGTTGATTTATTGTGTTTTAGGTATAAATTGAAGAATTGGAAAAGTTTGGGGTCAAAACTGCAATTTTGGAGAAAATATGGGCCAAAAGTGAAATAATCAAAAATATGAAGAAATTGGCACGGGACGGCCGTCCCATATTTACACCTAAAAATGGGACGGCCGTGCCAATAACAGAAATTGGGCAGAAGGTTTCGGCGATTCTCGCGCGGCCGTGTGAGAATTGCACTAATTTTCGCGCGGCCGTGCCAACACACGCTGGAGACAATTTTGGACTTTTAATCACACAAGGAAACCTAAAATCATCTACCAAGTTGGGACATCTATTTAAGCCCAAATCAAGCACGAATTAGAGAACTTTTGACACAACCTTGGAGCGAGAGGAGCGAGAGAACGAAGAATCGAAGACGGAGAATTGACAAATCTTCATCACAATTCTTCTTTTACCTATCTTTTCTTAATCTATGTCTTTTTATATTTTTATTATGTTTTTCGTAGAGAACATGAGTAGCTAAGTTTTTAATCTAGGATTTTGTTGGAACCCTATGTGGGGATGGTGAACCCGTTTTCTTGAGATTATGCAATTATGGTTTTATGATTATTTCTTATACTTGTTATGATTGTTCGTGCATGAACTTGATCAATTTATGTGCTTTATCTGTGATTATTGGGATTGACTCGACAGAGCTATTTTGATAATTAGACGGTAAGTATAAGAACCTTCGAGTAGTTTTCACCGGATGAGTGTGTCAATTGCATGTGGTGTCGTAGACATACAGATATCACCTTAGGTAGCCATTTACGAGACTTGTTAGTTAATGCTTTATTCATAATTTGTTTGCATAGACATATAATGAACCGTTTATGAATAATAGACTCATAATACACGTGACAGCGGGTTATGAGTAAATTAGTGTCTCGGGTTAATAATCATGAATCATATATTTCATAATTGAGGGGTTTTGGGTGAGCAATTCTTGCATGGGGGGAAGATAAAATCCTAGGTCCGTTTTTATTGATATTTTCTCGTGTTGATTTGCTTTCATAATTAGTTTAATTATTTAGTTGATTAAATTTGACAACTTTGCGTAGGCTGGATAAAATTCATAATTGTTAGAATTTGGTACTTAGGATTAGGTAATTTGCGTATTCCCTGTGGGATCGACATCCGACTCTCACGAGTCCACTTTTACTACTTGTTTGCGATGCGTGCACTTGCGTGTTAGGTATTTAGCCCCAACAGTTACTGTGACTGACAGTTATACTGTTTCAATAATTTTTCTTCAATAGGTTTATGTTACTGCAAGTGACAGTTATATTTGTTTCAGTAATTTTCTTCAGTAGTTCTATGTTACTGTAATTGACAGTTATTTTGTGTAACTCGTGTAATTTTCTTTTGAATGGTTCTGTATAACAGTCTACAACAGGTACATTATGTATGAATTGTAAGTAAGTACAACATTTTCAAATTCAGAATAATACTATATGGCAACAGTATATTTGTTGCACTCTTGAACATAAAGTACGTAGTGTACTACAAATACTTAACAGTACATTAAGACCACGACCATAGAGTATCATACTACAAATACTTAACAGTACATTTACACCTACAACCATAGAGTTTTATACTAAAAATACTTAAAAGTTCATTTAAACTTGCATTACATTAAGCCTATCACACTGGTTTTGACTGCTTAACTCTGTGATTAACAGTGTTTTTGTGTTTCAGGAATAAGTGAACTAGTTCCTTTCTGAAATTCTTAAAAAAACATTATGCATCCAACTTGTCCACTGGTTGTTGACGGGAATACTGTCTGATGATATATAGTACAAAAATCCCGCAATCCTCACTGCCGTACTCTTGCTGAGGTGAATCCTCAACTTCTTGAAGTGTTGCATCTAGCGGGATTTTCTTGATTTTACATTCTCTGGTGACTGCTTCAACAGCTTTTACCTGCAATTTTGTTTATTCAGTTTTACAATACGGAGTTTCCTTTAATTTTTTTATTCAGTTTTACTTACCATTGTTTCCGCGATATACAGATATGGATCTGTGTGTTTCTGGTTTTCCACTGCCCTTGGCTTGTAGGAGTTGTAATGTTTCCACGTTTTGAGCTTTATATCCAGGACAACCAAAGTCCAATGATCATTATCCTTGCGGGTGTTGCCTTTGGAATAAAGTCGAAACAAGAGGAATCGATACTGCTGAACATGTATTTTCGGAATGAGTTGGCTCAAAATTTTATTGAAAGATTCTTCACCATTTGGTTACTGAAGAACGGCATGTATGTGAACACACCATTATATATATATATATATATATATATATATATATATATATATATATATATATATATATATATATATATTTTAATATTTGAAATCATTCACATACCATAAGCGAACTTGAAAAGACATAACTGTCCCCATCCAAACCATGATTGACATTATCATTAAAATATCCTTCCTCTTGTCGCATTTGCAGAATGGACGAGTATGAATCAAGTACCTATATGCAACAAGAAAAATAGAGTTAGTCTAGGCAATCATTTGTGTAATTTACTGGTTTCGGCAGTTCTTTAGGTAAAGCGTCTGTGTTTGACAGTATTTTTGTTTTTTTGTAAGTGGGTGCTCACTTGTGTACTGGTTGATCCCTCCTTCAACAATGTGATTATGTCAGCCATCTCATCAAACTCATACACATTTCTGTCTTTATTGTACCAAATTGAGATATGACCCTTACATAAAGAGCTAATGCGTTAGATTTATTTAAAGATGAATAAAAAAAGGATTATATTCTCATACATACCTATGATCATCCTCTGCTATATCTACAGCCATATTCTCTACAATAATTTTGTCCTCATTAGATAGCAGGTCGAAGATATCCTTTTTTTGGTACGAAAAGTCCTTTCGTCTTTTTTTCTTGACCGGCTCTGGTTGCTTATTGTTGACTGCAGGCTCTTTACGTTTTCCCCGTGTCCTGTCGGCAACAGCTGATTTACGATTCTTCTTTTCAGTCTGATTCAGTTTTGAGCACGTCCTTTTGTGCACACCACTTGATTTAGGCGTCTTTTTTGTTTCGATGTCCCGCATTGTTTTTTGTGGATCTTCAAAGTCTGTATCAACATCATTTGGCTTCTGCTCTTCTTTTAGAGTCGAATCAATCAAAGTTTGCAGATTCTGCTCCATATCCTCAATCTTCGTCTTCAACTGCTTATTTTTGTCACACAACTTTTCATTTTCCTGCTTCAATTCAACAACTTGGCAGTGTAATTCCTGGATGCTGCTAAATGATGTATCCGAGTTGGTTTGAGATTTGTTGACATCATCATTTGGTTCTGCAGGTTGACAAACAAATGCATCTCGCTCTTTGGTTAGGACGTCGTTTTGTGCACGAAGAGTGGCTATCTCATGGTCATTCAACGTGTTTTTCTCAATTGCAGAAGTGAGTTTTGTTTTCAGTTCCTGTACTTGTCTCTCCAATCTTGCACTTGAGGATGCCTCAGTCTGGCTGTTAGTTGGTATATCAATTAACCTCGCCATATCCTGTTCTTGTATTTTGTTCGTCTCTTCAAGATTTTTAATCTTGTTTCTCAAAGCTGCTTCTTCCTCTTTCGACAATCTTTCATCAACATCAACTTTGAGAGTGGTTATTTGACAATGATAGTAACATTTTCACCTTGAAGTTTCTCAATGGAACTTTGCTGCTCTGATACTTGTTCTCTCAATATCTTGTTCTCAGATTCAAGCCCCTAAATTCTGCTATTCAAATTGGCCACTTGTGTTTTTGAACTGCCAGCAGCATCAAACTCATTACGTGATTCTCTGTGTTTGTTCTAATCAAACTCATTACCTGACATATACACCCCCAAGTCTTCTGCTTGATTATCATCAGAGTCAAAAGAACCACCCTCCGGCTCATCCACTAACTTCCTTTTGCCCTTGGATCTTGCTTTAATTAGTACGCTCCTTTGAACCATTTGTTCTTCCTGCTCTTTGTTAGCTTCATTGTCATCTATATCATCCTCTTCATTTTGAAATTGTCCTAGTAATTGAGTTTCGTATCTTTTTGCAGCCAACGGCTTAGCCGACATCTGAAAACAGACAGTGTTATAGTAATTTCAATATGAAGGACAATCAATACTGTCATTGACAGTGAAGTAGTATATAGTACTGCACTATGTTAATGTTTATGACAGCATAATTGCATATGAGGATGTGTATGTGCATGATCATCATTAATAAACAAACATATAAGCAATATTATTGTCCATGGCAGAAAAGTTATAAATAATTTGGCTCATTGAATATTTTTTGACCTGATCTGGTTCTACGTGTCTCATCGAGAGTACATGGGCTTGTCGGCAGACTTCATGCAAGTTCCATTTTCTGTATCTTGGAAACTTTCTCTTTTGTTCCGGCAGAATCAAGGAACAACGTTCAAGGAACCAGAACTAAAAACAATAAAACAAAATATGAGTATAACAAGAAAAATATTAATAAAATTTTAGATTTGTTATTTACGTACCAATAACAGGGTAACACATCCATGTACAGACTTTGCCTTTGCAGTTACTTTGTGTACGGAGTTCATGAAGAACTTGACCACCTCTTCTGCCCAATTGAAGTCATTGATCCTCTGCAGATCATCCACGTACTGAAAGTACGACCAATTAACAGATTGACTTGTAGTGAAGAAGAAGTTCGTCATGAGGCTGAGGACTATTATCCTTGTAACATCTTCATGTTCTTCTTGAGTATTTGAACCTTGCAACCTTATCAATGCTGCTTTCAAGTCTTTGGAAGTGACTTTATTTAGATGACCAAAATTTCTTCTATAAAACTCTGTTTCTGGCCTGTTTCTTCTTGTACCATCGGCAATTGCCAGTTTGGTTTGGCCATTCGTCAAGCCAAAAATAAGTTGACATTCTGTGGTTTTGATGGTCAACCTTTTTTTCCCCAATAATAAAAGCTTGTTTATCTGGGTCATATGTCGATAAAATCCTGTGTATTAGGTTATCTGACTTTTTAACAGTAGAAGGGGTGATTCTTTGACAAATGATGGGTATGTAAAATTCACCAAATAGTGTTTGCCTTAAGGAGGTTAGATGATCTTCGGTAAGATGAACCTAATCACTAAAGTGAAAAAGTATAGTGAAGCTTGATCTGTACTGAGGGTTCGATGGATTTTGTTGTCGAATTTGTCTTATTCTTGCATGTGTTGGCAGTAAATGTTTATCTGAAAAGAAAAGAAAAAAACATTGTAATGGAAACTACACAGTATATTTAATGTTTTCAAATAGCATGCCTGAATCCCTCTTTTTGGGTTTTGGTGTTTCTGGACGATCTGAGGGGGAGGAACAAAGTATAACAATAAATAACTGAATTGAAAACGGATATGTAGTGTATATAAAAAAATGAATTGGGTGGAAGAAAAAAATTATGTGCTATAGCTTTTGTCCTCATTTTTTCGTCACCGAAGCTGAAGCGACGATGGTAGAGCAGCACCAGATCAAAATCACTGTTAGATGCAGGAAAATAGCAGGCACTCAAAAAACTATTCAACAAGTGACATGTGTACCACACAATTACTGTGAGCAACATAAAAACAAGGCGCACATACAAACAGCTATGTTCAAACAGGGGGTTTATGTAACACACAAAATCACTATCTTATGCAGTAAAATAATAAGGAGAAACAACTATTTCTCAAACAGGGGGTTTATGTAACACACAAAATCACTGTCTTATGCAGTAAAATAAGGAGAAACATCTATTTCTCATACATGGGGTTTATATAAAACACAAAATCACTGTCAGATCCAAGAAAATAAGGAGAAACAACTATTTCTCAAACAGGGGGTTTATATAACACACAAAATCACTATCTTATGCAGTAAAATAAGGAGAAACAGCTATTTCTCAAACATGGGGTTTATGTAACACTCAAAATCACTGTCTTATGCAGTAAAATAAGGAGAAACAACTATGTTCAAACAGGGGGTTTATATAACACACAAAATCACTATCAGATCCAGGAAAATAAGGAGAAACAACTATTTCTCAAACAGGAAGTTTATACAACACACAAAATCACTGTCTTATGCAGTAAAATAAGGAGAAACAACTATGTTCAAACAGGGGGTTTATATAACACACAAAATCACTGTCAGATCCAGGAAAATAAGGAGAAACAGTTATTTCTCAAACAAGGGGTTTATATAACACCCAAAATCACTGTCTTATGCAGTAAAATAAGGAGAAACAGCTATTTCTCAAACATGGGGTTTATGTATCACACAAAATCACTGTCAGATCCAGTAAAATAAGGAGAAACAACTATTTCTCAAACATGGGGTTTATGTAACACACAAAATCACTGTCTGATCCAGGAAAATAAGGAGAAACAACTATTTCTCAAACATGGGGTTGTGTATAACAAAATCACTGTCAAATTCCCGAAAATAAGGCACATAAATCACTGTTAGATGCATGCGGGCAAAATTACTGCCAATGCAGAAAATTGAGCGCTAATAATGAAAAAACATATACAATAGCAGGATTTATGTCATAAAACAAACATTTGTATAGTATACTGTTAGAAAAAAACTCACAAAGTTCGTACGATTAGGGTTTAACAGAGTTCGACTGTATTTTTTGGGGATTTGACAGTAACTTCGAAAGATGTAGCTGAAATCGCTGAACAATCAACAAGATGAGAGTATATTTTCGAAAATCAGAGTAATTTTTTACAATTTCCGGTGAAAATCGTACTGATTTGGGTGAAGAAAAACCGGTGCAAAAATCGTAGCAGTTTTCGTGTTTTTGAGTTCGCATTCACAGAAACTAAAAGAGAGGGGGGGGGGGGTATGTATTTTTTTAATATTTAAGGGAGGGTATTTTCGGAAAGTGGAAGCAGATGGGCTTTCTTGTAGGACTTTTTTTTGTCTGGATTGAAATGCAAATAAGTACCACTCAATGGGCCTATTTGCCATTCGCCCAAAATATTAATACAGAAGATATCTTTTTTTTTCTTTTTCTTTTTTCTTTCTTTCTCTATTTTAGCAGTTTGTAAACTATTATAAAAAACTTAATTTTTTTTTCCTTTTCTTCTACATAGACAATTTACATTTCGTCTCTTAGTACGTATTTAAAACTTGAATTTCACTTCATGGCACATTCTTTATTTGTTCATATAAAGTACAATACACTGTAGTAGACTATAGTATACTACAGTTTACTATAGTGTACTATAGCGTACTATGACTTACTACAGTGTACTGTTACAAAACCCTAGCCGCCAACACCTCTCAGCCATCGTCAACGCAGTCACGGCCAAACCCTAGCAGGCAACACTCCCAGCAGCCGCCAACCCATATCCACCAAACCCTAGGAACCTACTAAAATCCATAGACGTCAAAGAACCCTAGTTTGATGAAATCGCTTCCACCGCCGATCTATCTTCATACCACCATCTCCACAACCGTCACCTCACTATGTATGGCCATAACCATCCCTCTATAAACACAACTACCACCGTCTCCCTGAACCGGCACTTCGGGATGACAATAGGTACACATCACCATAGCCACCTCTCCCTCTACCACCAATTCGGGATGAGCCGTCGGACCCGTCTACCGCTTGTTCGTGATGCGCTGCCACCTCCAATTTTAGATCTATTTTTTTCCACCACAAAAGGTAGATCTGTTAAAGAGATGGTGAGAGAGAGAGAAGAGAGCGAACAACTAATGTTAGAGAGATAGAGAGAGAGAAGAGAGAGAACAACTGAGAGAAGGGGGTGGGACAGAACAAAATAGAGAGCCAAAGAGAGAAAATGTTTGAGGCGGCGAGAATTGAGAGAGAGAGAGAGAGAGAGAGAGAGAGAGAGAGAGAGAGAGAGAGAGAGAGAGAGAGAGAGAGAGAAAGATGAGAGAAGATCGTCATTTTTTATTAGTTATTATAGGGGTATTTTTGGATTAAAAATAAATTAGAGGATATATATCAAATTTTTCTTTTAAATAAGGATTTAGTTAACATATTCTATTTAAGGTTGTGTTTCACATCTAATTGGGTTTGATTTGAGGGGTGTCTTCAATATTAACCCTATTTTTGTTGCCAATAATTCTATTCTTTTAATATGTACAGTATATAAAGGAAAAATTAGTATATATGACCAAATTACTCACAAACTTTTAAACTCAATTCCTAATTGTAAACCTAATTTAACTTTAATTACCTCAATTTTGATCACAAAAATCAAATTTTGACTTTTTTTTACGGTTTCTATGGTTGATTTTTTTTTTTCTTTTTCTTTATTTTTTTGTTGTCAGCTTTTTCCGCCGCCGGTTTCCAGCGTTGACTTTTTCTTTTCCTAAAATTTTTATTCGTTTTCTTTTACTCCCGCCGCTGAACGTTGACCGTAATTGTACTGTCATTGACAGTAATTGTATTGTCAACCACATCAATATTATTATTATTTTATTTTGTTTGATTTGTCAAGTCAACGTAGTAATATTGCTGTCGTCGATGGTAAATTACTGTAAACACAATAATATTAATGTCAACAACATCAATATTATTTCTTTTTTGCTTTTTTATTTTGTTTGATTTGTTGACCGATTAACATAATAATATTACTATCTACTATTGTAATATTACTATAAACACAATAATATTACTATTACCCTATTACACAATAATAGTGATTTTTGTTATGTTAATATTACTATGTCATAGAGTATTATAGCAATATTACAGTTTAAACGGGCCAAAAAGTGTTGAAGAAAAAAGAATAAAAAAAAAGTGAACGCCGAAAACTGATGGAAAAAGTAGGAAAAAAGAAAATCCGAGTTTTATCTAAAAATAAATATAGTGAAATAAATAAAGTCCTACTTAAATAAATTTCTACAAATTCGAACTAGCTAGATAAAAATTTCCTAAACAAAACATGTCCTAAAATCACTGTTAATATTTATCAACAAGGCACATATTTCACCAAATATGTTTCCACGAAATATGGTGCCAACAAATATATTTATTCCCCTTCATGGATATTTTAAACAAATGTATAATCATTATAAGTTAATTTACTATTATCATGTATAATGAATGACTTAAATCTTGTGGAGACTCGCGAAAAGTTCATAAACGTCATCCATTATTCGATGAAAGATACAAAATGAAAATATCTTGGGAGGATAAAGTTTGCCTCGACGTTGTTGGTGATTTTACCGACACGCAAGTGCACCTATCGAACAAGTAATATAGTGGGCAATAAAGTACGAATATCGTTGCCACAAAGAATATTAATTATCTAAATCTAGTCGCTAATTCTACCAATTATGATCAAGCCCACCGTACACAGTCGAAAGTTGATTAATTATTCTAAATTAAACTGAAACAATTTAAAAGCAAATTAAATAATAAAGCGCACGAAAGCAATTAAACACGAAGATTTATCATATTAAATAAGCCTAGGATTTTATTCTTCCCCCTATGTGATTATTAATTCCCAAATTTCTTCAATTATGCAAGTTATTAAATCGGATTACTAGCCTGAGATGCTAAATTTATCATAACCCGCTTCCGCGTGTATTACGATTCTAATACCCTAGATTGAATTAGTGTATTCCTACGCAATTAAATCTTGAACACAACATGAAGCACAAATCTCAATAATGGCTACATGAGAGATTAACTATATTCCTATGGTAATACAACAAAGGTGTTTCTACCGTAGTTCTAATTATTAAACCGATCTTTTGATTCATGTGTTTAACAATAACAGATAAGCACATAAAGTGGCCAGTTTCATGCACTTTATAAACAAGTAGAAGAAATAATCCGGAATTAAAACTTGCATAAAATCATGGAAAATGGTTCATAAATCCCACATAGGGTTCAAAATAAAATTCTATAAATAAAGAGTTTAGCTACTCGTGATTAAATTAAAAGCTAAATAGAAATAATTCATGAAAGATAAAATTATGCTTGAATCTTCAAAGTCTTCGTCTTCGTTATTACCTTTTTGCTCTCGAAATTGCGTAAAAGAGGACCATTAATTGTGTGCTTGAGATGACCTTTTATATGGTGGGAAAAAATAAGGAAAAATCAGTTTCCTTGTATAATTGGAATTTACTTACTATGTAGTCTTGCCTTCTCGAACGGCCGTCTGGAGATTTGTTCTTCGTTTCGGACGGCTGTCTAAGATGACGTGGTTTATTTTTCTCTTTCTTGTTTCGGACAGTCGTCTGGACTTCAAGTGTAATTCTCGGACGGCCGTTCGAGATCTTGACAAGTTAAGTGGCGTTGACTCTTCCAATTTTATCCACCTTTTCTTCTAAATTGCAGTTTTGACTCTCAATTGATTCAATTCTTCAATTTGTGCCTAAAACACAATAAATCAAAACTTTAGGCACCAATTATCAACAAAATACACCAAAAGCTCAAATAAAAAAATATAATTAAGTGTAAAAAAAATACACTTAACAAACATGCATATCGAGCATTAGTCGATTGAATATTTATCACTAATTTTTAATATATATGACAAAGTTGATTCATTAAGTAATCCTATGATTATCGGATATTTGGATATAAAGAAAGATCCCAAAATAATGAGTCTTGCATATGATGATTTTCTTTATGATCCATGCAAGGATACATCATAAGTGGGTACGGATTTACTTATAGTGGTGATACTACCACAAAACAACCACTTCTTCGAATTATTTTGATGCCACTGTATGAAGCGAGACGTCAAGATAGATGATTGAGAATTATGGTTCAACATATTCAAGATACTTATGGAGTATCTCCAATAAAGAAAACAACTCTATTGTTGTATCAAGATAATGCTAGAGTTGGCTCATCAAATATGGCAAAACGTTATTGGAGTTGTTCTACTTCTACATTGACGAGCTAAAGAAGAGAGCACAATATTGTCATTCATCATTTACAATCAAGTAACAAGTTAGCATATTCATATTGGAGTTTTTCCAAGTATATCATTCCGAATCATGCCGAAATCAAGTAGAGTGGATCACCTATTATAACAGTGTACTCAGTCCAACTTTTTATTCCACTGAATTTTTCTTGGCAAGTTTTTAACATGACAGTGTCACGTTAGTAAAGTTAAAATGGAAATGTACTATTTTCTCCTTCGTTTAGATTTTTTCCTATTTAGGGGTGTGCACGGCTCGGTTCGGTTCGGTTTTTGGCTAAAACCGAACATGAACCGAATATATCGGTTTTTGTACATTAAAAATCGTGTATATCGGTTTTTTATCGGTTCGGTTTCTTTCGCTTTCGATTCAGTTTCGGGTTTTTTTGGTTCGGTTTCGGTTATTTTTCGGTTCAAGAGTAACTATATATTTAAGTTGTACAAACAAAAGAATACAATTACAATTACTTTCACAACTTACTAATGCAATGAAAATATAAAATCTTTAATCCCATAGGACTTAACGTAATTTAGATGATGTATTATGCTTCATTTTTTTTCCTACTTTCATGTACCACATTATTAAAATCATGAACTCAAGAAAATTTTAATTACTAAATAAATAAAATACAATGTCTCAATTTATGAACATATGTTTAGAATGAGACAAGTAACTGAAAGATAGAAAAAAAAAATTAGGGTTAAATAATACATATACTATATAAAATGAAGTCATTTTATAATTTCGGTTCAGTTCTGTTTCTCGGTTAGGTTATTTACCTTTTCACCATACCGAACCGAATAATTTAGTATTTCAAAAATAAAAAACTGTACATGCGGTTTGCTATTCGGCACGGTTTGAAACGGTTCAATTTTTCGGTGTTTTGGTTTGGTTTTTTGGTTTTTCGGTTTTTTTGCTCACCCCTAGTCCTATTGATTTTTCCCGACAAGATTTTTAATGGGCTATATTTCATTAATGACGGATATCCAAGAGAGAGTGTTATGAATTATATAAAATGGTGGATGGCCACCACCACTTATTACCATTAAGGGTCATTATTCACCACTGTTAAGGAGTTGTAATTCATGTCCTTTGAGTGGTATTTCTTGTTCAATAAATGGTGTACATTGTAAAGTGTTTTATATACAAGAAGAACAAGAGAATAATATACTTGTTTCTCTTCATATTTTTATCTCAATTCGCCTTTGTTTTAATTTCTTTATTAGTTTCTCAACACTACAGTTATTTTCTCACTGGACTACTTGAATATTATATTTGCTTATATAAAACAAAATTCATATTTTCACTAGTTATAATAAAAGACCAAGCAAACAAATAATTTCGTATGAGAATTTTTGTTCAATGTGAGAAAATATAATATATTTTATGAGATATTTTTATTTTTTCCACTTCGTATGCTCGATATTAGCATGGAGTTTTGAGGAAAATTATACTTTGATTTGATATTTTGCTCTCCGAAAAATCACTAAAAAGATAAATTACTCTCACTAACTCTAAAAAATCAATTATTGGTGCATTTTGAATGATTTATTACATATTCCATGAGCGCAAATTGCTATCAATATTCTTAGAGAGCATAGTGTCAAAATACTAAATTTTCGACGTTGGGATTAATGCATTTGAAGTTTATTATCAAACAAATCAATCTAAAAATCTTTAATGAGTTTATTATATTTAATTTGGAGCTATTTCCTCAAATATTCTTATTCAAATACAACTTTAAGTGTAGTCGGTATTTATTAGACTTCCATCCAAATACAACTTAAAGTTTAATCAAGGCTTGGGTCTAAGCTCAATGCCTTCAACAAGTAGCCCTCCTTTAAGCCGGTCACCCTTAATTTCTTTAAACTCCATTTTCACCTCTCTGTCACCCTCGTCGTTATAGAATTCTCCCAACTCGATATCCAACCATCCATCGCCACGTGGACATGGACCCCTTTGCCCCACTACACAAAATGCTTCATATCCTCCTTGCCTTTGGCACTCATTGAGATTCATACAAATATTTCCTCGCATTTTATAATCACCGACTTCAATTGAAACCTCCAAAGGTGTGTCGTCTAATCCAAAAGCACGTTTAACAATCTGAACAACGAGGTAAGCGCCGTAAGTCGTGTTTGGGGACAACATTCTTGTGTTGATTTTTCCTTGTATTTCAAGCCAAGACACCATTACAAGCTCTACTGCTTCAGGAAATCTAAAAAGCCAAAGAGAAAAAAGAAAAAGACAAAAGAAAAGGATGAATTGGAAATAAAAATAAGTTAAATAAGAAATTGTATAATGAGGAAGGTAAATAGACTCGACCTGGAGTGAAGGAGATGTTTCCAGCACCAATAAAGAGAATTAGTAGACCAAGTAATTGACAGTTCCCTTGCACTCAACATGTAACATCTTTTATTTGTGTATTTGTCCAATAAAAATGTCTGTATTTTTTTTACATTTGTCAGTGTCTAATAAAAAAAATTGTATTAATAATATGAAAATTACTAAGAATTTAGTGCGTAACAATTAATAATATTTTTTTTTATATAATACATATATATATATATATATATATATATATATATATATATATATATATATATATATATATATATATATATATAGAGAGAGAGAGAGAGAGAGAGAGAGAGAGAGAGAGAGAGAGAGAGAGGGATAACCCCAATTTGCAAATTTTATTATTGATTATAAAATTCAAAATAAGCTCATATAAAACTATGTTTTTATAAAAATAGAATAATATAGGATAATCTTATCTACTTTAGCTAAGTCCCCTATGATCTAGGTCCAATCTTTGAAGGAATAAAATAAGGAAAAATTAGTTAAAACTCCCTCGAAAATATTTTGTATAGCTATTAATCCCCTCGAATATTTTTAATTTGTTAAAAGTCCCTCGGGCAGCTAAGTTTACAATGTAGACTGAAAATAGACAACTTAGTTGGAGATCAACTTTAACTAATAATAGACTATCTAGCCTGAAAATGAACAGATTAATTGGAGAATTTGAATTGAAAATAGACATCTTAAACTAAAAAATGAGGACTGAGATTAATAAAATAGCGTTTTCCAGCGCGTGGTTGGTGATAGTTAAGCGATCAAGACGAATGACTGATAGGAAGAGGTGGATCGGAGGAGTGGAAAGCCGTCTTTTCATGGAGTGGATGTTTTGAGAACAAATGAGGTCGATGGAAATAAAGCATTTTTCATTCTAAGCTCTCTAACTAAGTTGTCCAAGAGACTTTTAGCAAAATGCGAGAACATAATCGTCCTGATATGAAACAAATTAGACATAAAAGGTGTATAGCAAATTTCCAAATACGAGCCAAATCTTTTTAATATTTCCTCAAGTATGTGTTTTGTCCCACTTTAATCCCTCAGCTTTGAAATGAGTCAAATTCATCCCTCAACTTCAAAAATTGTATCAAAGTTATCCTCCATCTTAACATTCCGTTAATAGTTAATAGAATCACATAAAATAAAATGGAATACTCCATATCATAAAGATAACATAAGAAGAAAATGTTGAAAATGAAGTTTTTCTATTCAATAGTTGTGTATTGTATATCATAAATTCATCCCAATTCCCCTCACAATTAGGTGGTGTTTGCAAATGATTATTTAAAAGCAAAAGTTAGTGATTGTGAGTTAAGCTAGTTTTAAGTACTTATTTCTAAAGGTGTTTGCAATTATTCCGCAAAATGAACTTAAATAGAAAAAACAAGGTTATGGGTGATTCTAAAAAAAATAGCTTAAAACAGATTATTTTAAGAGAGACAAAAGCATTAGTTAATTTTGCAAACACATGAAAACAAATTATGAGAAAAAAAAACTTATAATCACTTTTAAAAGCTTTTGCAACCACAACCTTAAAAAGGAATATCACTATATTTTAGTAGCCTCTTAAAAATATGTCTCTGTGTTTTTCACACCATCTTTTACATAATATTCAATTATTCTTTTAAAAATACATTTTTTTTTGAAATTAAATTACATAAATAGTAACTTTTCTTTTTCAGAATGTATTAAATATAAGGGAAAATTATAAACATTGTATATTGATTTTGTATGACCTAATAAAACTACTTTATCAAATAAACATTAACAAAATATCGTATTAAATATGGTTGTTAAATTTATATAATACAATACCCAAAGTAAAGTGAATAGTTTCCCTATACTTTCGAATTCTCCTTTTATTTTCTAAAAGATACTCTTGATACATGGAATACTAAGGGGAGGATCACTCTTGATACAATAAATTTTTGCACATAAAATATATTAAACATATATAATATGTATATATAAAAAAATGAAAAACTGGGCCCCTCTAAGCAATTAGACCCTGGGTGTGGGTCCTGCTCGCCCCACCGAGCAATTTACTGATTCTCGAAAAGAAAAAATGCAATTTCTAACTAGGCGCAATAATAGATATGTATATATATGCTAACAATTAATTAATGGAGAAAATGATTGCAATAGTAATAGTAGAAATTAAATGAAGTTAAAAGTATTTGTAATATACCTTTCGACCACCATCAATAAGAAGAGGGGTAGAGGAAAGCTTAGCATACAAATCCTTTTTGGAGGAGAAGAAAAAGGGAGAAACAGAATTGGAGATGATGTCAGGGTAATCCAACGGCAGGAATTTATCCCAGACCGAGTCGGAATCGGCTGCATCACGGAAAATACACGAAACGAGAGATGAACGGCACGCATCCTGTGGACAAGTTAAAGATATGATGTGTGATAGGCATTCCTCCGGCAATGACTCAATCCTTGTGCTCATCAAACTCATTATTTCGTCAAATCATATAATAATGTCATCGACGTTTTCAAATGTGTATATATAGTATATATATATATATATAAAGGAGTTAACTAGAGAGAGAGAGAGAGAGAGGCGAGGGGAGGTGGGGGTGAGTTAGGCTGGGAGTTATAATACATATTTGGATGACGACATAAATTTGATAGATGATGACATTTACCATCCTATGAACCATTTTCATTACCAAGATACTGATGTTCCATTGTTCCTTATAACTTTTATTTCCATGAGATAGCTTATTAAAGAAGGGCTTTTGCGAGGAGTTCTCTGACCAACCGTCTTTATTATTCTAGGCTTATGTGATATATTTTCTTTTTTGTCTCTAAGTCCATCCTTTAATATTTCTTATAAAGAAACACAAACTTAATTTATATGACAATATTATTTCCACTTTTTAAACTCAATTCATAAAAATTATTAACCCCAATTTCAGTTAAATTTCATCAATTTTGACAAAAAATAAAAAAAAAATTAATTTTGACTTTTTCTTTGAATTTTTTTTTTCTGTCGCCGGTTTTCTTTCCTTTTCCTGTTTTTTTCCGTTAGTTTGGTTTCAGTTTGGTTTTGGTAACTAACGACATTGACTTTTTTTTTCCACACGCCGCTACTCAGTGACAGTAATATTATTGTCGTTGACATTAAAATTACTGTAAATACAATAATATTATTGTCAACTACACTAATATTTTTTCTTTTTAACTTTTTTATTTTGTAATTACGCTGACTTGCCAACAAATCAAACAAAATAAAAAAAACCAACAAAATAATAATATTGTTGTGGTTGACAGTAATCAACGACAGTAGAATTACGTAAATGTATTGTCAATGACAGTACAATTACTGTCAACGACGGTATAATTATCGTTAATGACAGTACAATTACGGTCAACGTTCGGCGAGCGTAAAAAAAAAAGGATAAAATTTTTAGGGAAAAAAATATTTAAAAAGTCAACGTCGGAGACCGGCGGCGGAAAAAACAGACAAGAAAAAAAAAGCAGACAAGAAGAAAAAAGTCAACGCCGGAAATCGGTGGCGAAAAAAATTCATAAAAAAGAATTAGAAAAAGGAAAAAGTCAAAAATGGATTTTTTTGGTCAAAATTGATTAAATTGAAGTTAAATTCGGGTTACAATTAGGAACTGAGTTTAAAAGGTTGAGGATAATTTTGTCATATACATTAATATTGCTTTTATTTATAATACATATTAAAAAGATGAGTTCATTGGGGAAAGAGATATAACCCCTGAACCTACAATAAGGAAGCTGGTTGATTATATAGACTTATTCATAAAAACCCCTAATATGTATTCTAATTCTAATTTTGTTTATAAAAATTTGGAAAGTTTCCGAAAATATTCAAGACTAATTTTTGATTTAGAAAAATGACTTAAGCCAATTCAGAACAAGCTTACACTTTTTCTTTTTATGCTAATTATATAGTTAATGAACACTTATGAGCTTATAATCAATGTTTTCCAAACGTATTCAGCGTAGACCACTAATTTTTGTTCTCTTAAATTTCATATGGTTAACCACTAGTTTTTGTTCGCTTAAATTTCATATGGTTAAAAAGTATTTAATTATTTTTGTGAAAATTAGCGAGACCCCACTCATTTGGGTCTCTCATTTGGAAATTTATGTAAGGGGACCACTAATTTTGTTTGCTTAAATTTCATATTACGACGTATCTAATTATACTTGGGAATATTAGCGAGACCCCACTCATTTGGGTCTCTCATTTGGAAAATGTATGTGAGGATCCCCTCTATAACACCCGCATATCGGATAATTTAAATTTTCGTTAAATTAGCATATATTTCGTTAATATGATTTTATCTCTTATGTGCGTTTATTAGTTTAAGAGTTTATTTATGTGATAACCCGTGAAATTTCATATAGAATGCATTAGTTCGAAATAATTTTGGTCAAATTTAAATCGATCATATTAGTTAACTATTATATCTAGAGATTAATCATATTCCTTTATTTTGCTAGAACTCATTTATTAGGAGAATTTTTATATTACATATTTTTTGATAAGTATTTTATATTATATTACATATTTGCTTAATTGAAAATCAATTTTTTTGTCGAAAAAAATGATTTGTAAGAAAAATAAAAAATTTCTCCTTATTAATCCCTCAATTCTCGGCTACCATGGTACAACACAAGACTAAAGTTTTTTCTTGAGTACAACCCTTCTGAGCCCGTGCGCATTATGATTTTCTCTTTTTGAATTTATTTTTAAGGATAGTTAAATGAAATTGCAAAGAAGTCCCTCAAGATACTTTCTAAACTTGTCTAAATTGCAAAAATACCAATCCATCATTCTTAATTATTAAGCTTGCAAGACCCCCACAACTCGATAAATAGAACTCAAGTCTTCATGTGTTTCCTCATCTTCTCTATACATATCCTAAAGATCAAAGATCAAAATCTCTTTCTTTTCTTCTCCCATTTCTGAAATTAGTGGTGTAGGAAGCCCCAAAATCTTTCTGTCAAGAGTAAAATTCTTGGCCAAAGGAGTAAGTCTTCTTCCTCTTCTCTCTCTAAAATTTCTTCTTCTTCTCCTTATAGAAAACAAAGAACACCCGTCCAAAATTTCTAAGAAGCACAACGTGAGAATTTTGAGTTCTTGCTACAAGTGCTTCAATACCAATAGTATTTTTCTTCTCTTTTAATTTCTTGCTAATGTTCTTGTGATGACCGAAACTTAAGGGGGAATAAAATGAAATTTTGTGTTGAAAATGTAATTAGATCATCATGCATGTATTAATCTAAGCTTTAAATAAAGTAATCTTTAAAGAACTAAGAATAAAATGGTGATTTAATTGTTCTATATGTATATACTTGACCTACATGATCTTAAGGAAACTTCAATCCATAATTTTCGTAAGCCTACGTGGTCGAAGAAAGTATTTGGTCCATGGTTTATTTATAATCTCTATGTGATATATATATAGAATGATCCGCCGGATCAACCCCCGGCCTAGTTCACGTGTTCTATGATCACAGGTACCTCAGGATCATCAAGTTGTCAAGCTACTGATCCGCTTTGCTCTCCCAGTTCGTTTTCTACACTACCCCAGGTGATCTAAATAATTAGCATCATCATTTTGGCGCCTTCTGTGGGAACGATGCGAACCAGATCACGTAGCCAACAAGATTCTCCTGAGGCGTCTGCTCGGAGAGAAAATGACACGGCTAATAAACTCCCAGTCCGTGGAGGATCTAGCATGCCACCGCATCCACGTGCCGCGGAACCACCTCCTCCACGTGCTGCGAATCCACCTCGCGAGGTTCAGGTGATCCCTCCTCGGGACCCACCACTCGCCGACACCACTCCCTGCTCCTCGAACGGTTTAAATAACCGAGGACGCGCTCCAACGCATGATAGCAGAAGCCTCGACTCGCGCCGCCACGGAGGCCGTGATTCAATATATCGCCACGATGGGAGCAAACGCTCCCAATGCGATACCAGCGCCAGCTCCACCTGTGGTGCCGCCTGTAGTACAACCTATGGCGCCACCGCCAGTGCACAACCAAATAAGTGTCTCCTCCTCTACCTCGGACCCACGGTCCCGAGTGCAGCTATCTACTAATCACAGAGGGGCACAGCCCAGACAGCAGCATCATGGCTCACCACCACGGGGGAATGCGTCACCACAGAGAGTTCCTCTCTTTAAGGAGGGAGAAGGCGAGGTAAACAGCAGAATGTCTCGCCAAAATCTTTTCCCCCAACCAAATAATCTAATGGGTGAAAGAATGCCCGTCCCAATAAGACGCAGTCCCTTCACCATAGACATCCTCAACGAGGTATTACCTCAAGGAGTAAAGATCTCGGGGTTACCTCAATTTGAAGGGACCACCGACCCTTAACAAAAACCCTGGGGGTTTACAGTGCCCCCAAAATATTTCGTTCGCCTAGGGTTATCGACTTCCTGGGGGCTTACATCTGCCCCCAAAATATTTCGTTCGCCAAGGGTTATCAACTCCCTGGGGGCTTACATCTGCCCCCAAAATATTTCGTTCGCCAAGTGGGTGCACATCCCATCTCAAGAGACGAGTATAATCTCCCTACTCAAAAAATAAAACATCCCTATCCCAAGGTGGGCATCACCTTTACCTTTCAACCCCAAGTGGGTGCACATCATATCTCAAGAGACGAGTATAATCTCCCTACTCAAAAAATAGAATATCCCCAAAGGGGTGAACATCAACCACCTAAAAACAAAAAAATAAAAAGAAAAAGAAGAAGATGAAGAAAAAAGAAACAAAAAAAAAGGAGAAGAAAGAAAGAGAAGAAAGAAGAAGAAAAAAGAGGAAGATGAAAAAACAGCAGAAGAAGATGAAGAAAAAAGAAACAAGGAAAAAATGAGAAGAAAGAAAGAGAAGAAAGAAGAAGAAAAAAAGAGGAAGATGAAAAAACAGCAGAAGAAGATGAAGAAAAAAGAAACAAGAAAAAATGGAGAAGAAACAAAGAGAAGAAAGAACAAGAAAAAAGAGGAAGATGAAAAAACAGCATAAGAAAAACCAATAAAAAAAAAAGAAAAAAAAAAAGAAGCATAAAAAGTGAATAAAGCAACATGCTGCGTCACTCTCGAGGAAGTCCCTATCAGCTCCTCATAAAATTCTTAACAGCTCCACACTCTCTCTCTCCGTGCACTACATGCGCGCTGCCCTCCCCATGTGGGCTACTGCGCGCACGGACCCCAAGTGCGCGCAAACTCAGGTACATCAGCGTCCTACAATGCGTGCCGCCTCTCCTACCTCGTAGCGCGCGCATACCTGAGGTCGCGCGCAACTCTCAAAATTCTACCTCAAATCACGTGAAGATTTTGACGCACTTTACTAAATCGCACGAGAATTTCTGAGCGCTCCACCAAATCGCTTGATAGTTTCACCTCGCTTAACCAAATTGCGCGAGCTCTTCAACGCGCCTACCAAATCGCGCTCGCTATCAAACGTATAAATAAAAAATATTATTTCTCCAAGCCACGCCAACGATTAACGAAAC